TCCCAATCTGTTGGTTTGTAGCACGGAAGGAACTTCGTTGCATCTAATCCCGGAGAATTATGCACCTGCAAATATACCATTTCTCAATGATCAAGAGGTAGAGGTACCAATTTAATTACGTTTTAAAGTAAATTATTTCCAAAACATACATACATACGTACATGTAACCTTGAAATATTAATTTAAAAGTTGTCATTTGTATATATATCATGGGAATAACTGAACAAAATAAAGGAAATTATATTTCCATCTTTCTCTGGATAGTAAAGTGAAATTTATCCTTTTATTTATTCATCGTATTTGTATGTATATATATATATATATATATATACAGACACACATACATATCTTTTGTTTCGGGAGGACATGATGTGTCCAAAAGGCTTAAATTATGAAGTCCCATATGAAGGCCTACGTGATGAAGATGATGAAGTCCCATATGTATCACAGAATGTCAATTTAGAGCTCACTTTGGGAAGGCCACATTGGGATTGAATACAATAAAGAAAAATTAGGTATTAGACATAACGACTAATTAGGATTTGAGACAGAGTATTTCTGTTTGGGTTTTAATATCTATGAATCAAATTTTGTTTTGAATTAGGCCAAAATACAACCAAAATAAGGTTGGTGAAGTGGTTTGTGAACAAGGCTTTCCTCCTTTGAGGGTCAAGGTTTGAGTCTCCTCATGCACACTAAATTTCTTACCTTTTTAGGTTGAGGGCAACATAGAGCAGCAGCGGCGGCAGCCGCAGGAGCAGCAGCAACTGCTGGAGCTGTGGCTACAGGAGCAACAGGAGTAGTATGAGCAGTATGAGCAGCAGGAGCGGTTGCAGGAGCTGCAGCGACTACAGGAGCAGCAGGAGCTGCAGCGGCTGCTGGAGTTGGAGCAGGAGCAGGAGCAGCAGAAGTTCCTGCGACAGCGGCGGGTAGTGAAGGCGGATTGACGGAGGTGGACATGTGGCATGTGTTGGTAAAAATAAAGAGATAATTGCTATATTTACAGAATTTCGAAAATAAAACTTCACTTTAAATTCGAAATAAATACAAGAAAATAATGACAAGGTAAATGTTAAGAATACTTTACAGATGATCGAGTCTAGAACTTGGTTATATCTCCTTAAGATGAAATTGCCTCCTCACAGGTGCTTTTAGGATTTGTTTGGCAAACGTCTCCCAGGATACAACGATCGACTTCTTGTTCAAGTAGCACTACAATCCCCAAGAAAAACGAACTCAAACTTGTGTATGAATTCTCTCTTACTAACTTACTATATTTCTAAAAATTTAATGCTATGAATGCTCTAAAAACTACTATTGTTGGATGACAATTGGATGAATGAAATGTTGTAGGATCTTATCTCTTTATAGGCAACAAGGCCTTTGTTCAGAAAAGATGTGACTGAAAAATATAAACAAATGTGTCTTTTCATGTTGCAACTATAAGCCAAGAAGTGCAATGTTTCATTTATTATGAAACAATGCAACTTAAGCCAAGAAGTGCAATATTTCAATATCTATGAAACAATGCAACTTATCACATAAAGTATTATTGTTTTACAAACAAAATAAATAATATTTTATTTTTCCTTGGTTAAGAACATGACTATTCCCAATGGATACATACCAATTCGTAAAAGTCATGAACTTAAAGTCACGAGTCCCACAATTTAATTTCCATTCAATTATTAAAAAATTAAATATAAATATTATAATTTTCTAACAACATGACTTCGAAGTAGTGGCATCTACTTCCTATTATTAATTGAATCTATTAATTACTTTTAATTCATTATTATATTATGTCTCTGAATAGGGATCCAGATCCTCTGCTTTGATTTTCTCTGCTAGGATCTGATTGACTTTCACTCCCCACACGCCACGTCATTTAAATTTCAATCTAAAGGATTTAAAGTTGACACATCACCTTTAAAACAAAAACTCAAAATTTCCGTAATTAAAATAAAAAGTGTAGATTTCCTAATTAAAACATCAAATTTGTGTAAATATTGTCAGAGATAAGAACTACATTTGTCACATAGTGGCATGTAACGAAGAAACTGACGTGGAACGTAACAAATTTGATATTTCCAAAAGAGTTCAAAAATGGAAACATTTAAAAGATTGAGACTGAGCTAAAATAGGATCCATAATTTGTGCGTTTTAGGTATTTAATCATAAATGTTTTTTCATGAGTCACTTTTATTATCTTCTTGCCAATCAGACAAAAGAAGGGTTAAATTTTTGAAAGTTCCTTAATGCCCTTGAGAAATAAATATACTGAAACAGATGATTCTTTAATATACGAGGGCAAAATGGTAAACACAAAATAATGAAATAAAATTTGAAGGAAGAGTGTTCACGTTCACCTAGCAAATACAAGATAGAATAATCAACATTTTAATTAGTCAATTATTTCATAATCAACTGTTCAATCGATTATGTCAGAATCTTCTCGTCAGTTTCTCTCTCTCTCTCTCCTTTTTCCTTTTGGGTTTCCTAGCCCATTGATTTTGTTATTGTTTCTTACGCTTACGCTTCAATTTCTATCACTTTCATTACATATTGGAAATGGGTTTTTGAGATTTTAGTTGCTAGTTGAATAATTCAACGCTTATGCGCTTAGCACTGGAAATTGTATTTTCATTGTCTTTTATTCTTGTGGAGTCGCAATGGACTGTGACAGCATAAGCTCATTTAGAAACTGAACTCAACTTTACTAATGTCCTGTGATCAGACGTCTGACTTTTGGTGCATCACTTTAGTTTTTTTTGTGTATTTTCTTGGGTTGAAAAAAGTGGACCAACTTTGTGGTTCTTGTTTGTTGTTACAGACCAAAAGTTTCAAGCTTTAAACATTGTGGCACCTTTGTGATATCATTTCTTCATATTTTCATTTCCTCATATTAGCATTCTGGAGTTTGCATAAGAGTTGATTGAGCTATTGGCAGACCCCAATATGAAAGTGAAAAAAAAGGCCAGAGATTATTCATTCATATATATGTTGCTGTATTGCATCAAAGATCAGCACTGGATCAATATAGGAAATTAAAAAACAGCTTAATTGGTACACAGAAGGTGATATACAAACACAATTGATGCATATATAAAAGCAAAAGACCCAATTGCACAAGACTTGGAAAGAGCCTCAAATGCACAAGATTCAGCCTCAGCCTATACAATCAAACTCTCCCAGAAGACCCAATTGCCCAAAGCCATGAAATTTCCTCAAAACCATTTAACCTTCCCGTGCATACCCAATAAGAGAAAAAACAACCCAAAACAGAAACTTCAACGAAACCCAATATTTGTGCCTAATTATATTGACAAATTCCACGTCAAAAAGGAAGAAAATTTCAGATCAGAGGAGAAAAAAGAGAACAGAGAACTGAACAAAGCGAGAATAAGAAAACACAGTCGTCTTGTGCGGTTTTTGAATTGTTAAAACTTAATATAATCAAATATGGAAATCCCAAAACTTAACAAATTCCACGTGTTTAGTTGTTATTGGGTTAGATTCAGAAAAAAGTTTTAGAAAGTAAACTGAGAAGCAGCCAAATCAACGGAGTTCGAATGTTAGAATTAAACATTGAAATCGAGAAAAATCAAACTCGAATGGATAAGAAAATGGAGAAAAAGAAGCTACCTTGCAACAATGGCTAAAATCACAGCAGACACAGAGGGGCGTTGAAACCATGGTGGAGAAAGCAAATAAGAAAGAGATTCAGAAAAGAGAAGCTCGCTCAAACTAGAGACGAAAGCAAAGGAGGCTGAGGGAGAGAAAAGCCCACGTCGAAGCCCATCAAACTGTTAAATAAAGAATAGAATCTAGTAAATAGTTTGGTTCGGAATTAGGATGGAATGGAATCAGTTCCATTGTTTGCTTTTGCAGTTGTAATGGCATGTAATAAGCTGTTAAATAAAAGTAAGGTTAATTACTGTAGAGGTCCTTGAACTATGGCCCCAATTGCAATTGGGTTCGCGAACTAATTTTTGTGGCAAAGACATACTTTAATTAGACAATTAGTTGCAATTGGATCCTACCGTCCAATTCTGTTAATTTATCCGTTAAAATGAGGGGTAAAAGCGTCCTTTTGGGTTAAATAAATAATAATAATAAATAATATACAGTTTGTAAA